TCCCTTGGTGTTTTTTATGGAGGAATTATTAGAAGTTGCTGTTTTTGCAAACATAGATGGAGCGTAAACTAGTTTTGACATAGCATAGCGTTACGGTAAGGCATACGCTAAGTTCCGTTAGATAGTATGCTTCGCTAACGCTAATACCGTAAGAACTGTCATACTTGTTAAATAGCGTTAAGTTATTTGAAATTTGGACGGCACGAGAACTCTCTATTTACCCAACATTTACGTTAAGCGCTATTTCGAATAACGCCTAAAAAATGCTCAAATAGACATGCGCAGATTTTTGACAACGGGCTGGTTCAATATTATAGGTTATGTTATGTTAGAAATATAAAATAATAAGAAAGCAGTGAAAATTCAAATCCTGTGACTCCATGTGACCCTGACCAAAAACAACAGAATCACCATTGACAAATCAAAACAAGGTACAAGTTAGGTTAAGATTATAAAATAACGAATGCGAATAGGCAAATTTTACGTAACTGTTTTCCGATAACTGTAATTTAAAAGTATGATACCACTTCACGTAAAAAACATAACTCCTGACGTTATTACCGTCCATACGCGCTATTTGGTTCACCGATATCTCTCTAATATCGGTAACGTCGTCGAAATTTGATCCACAGGGACTCTCGATTGAATCCCTATCGCACTATCCCTCTCTCTCACATTGCTGACTGTTTCTCTTTTTCGCTAGGCTGAAGTCGACTCGAGCCGACTGTATCCGAATGAGCGTTATCTATTCGGGCGTGTCGGCATGGGATCACCCCATTTGTGCTAATGTTCATTTGCTCTACCCACCCGAAGTCGCCTTCGGGCGGGAACGTCGGACGAGCCGAAGTCCGACCGGAGTATGACCCTCATCGAAACGAATGCAGTTGTTGTAGCGCAAATGGGTACAGCGTTGCCGTTCCCTCTCCATCTGGCGGGTATTTAAAATAGAAAATAGAATTCTATTTCGATATTTTTCAAGTATTGAGTGGGTGTGGTGTTTTGTTTACTTTAAAAATGGAAAATTTTAACTTTTAATATTTTATTGGTTAAATATTAATTTATTTTAACCTTCCATCGCGAGTTTTATAACATCATTAGTCACGCTGTATCACAGAGATACATATACTAAATCATTGATAAAAAAATTGAACCATCTGATGAATTTCGGTTTTACAATTTCTATGTATTGATTCGGGTACTCAACAATCAAAGATAGAACATTTTCACTGAGAAAGAGATTCCAGAAGTTGAATTCTATTTTCGCTATCTTAATGTTTCGAGCGCGCTCGGACTGCTCGGAGTTTACCGAGTGTAAAGCCACTGTGTGCAAAAGCTAGTTTCTGGATAGGAATTAGCAAATAAGCTATCCAAGTGCTCCTAAATAGTCGAAGAAGAACAGTCATTCAGATTTTTTTCATTACCAGGAATCACCTTTTCTACATTTAAAATCGATGAAGAAACAAGCACAACCTGAATCGCAGACGCAAGCATCCCATCGAGGCTTGCGGGTGACGTCACCACTATAAGAGGCTATGCTGCTAATAGTACTAACGTCACTCGCAGGCCTTGCCGACTCGAGAATTGGCGAACGTACGCGTTATAAGGAAAAGCAATCCTATAGTTTATGATTCTTGCTATGCAAGTGTTTCCAAATAGTCAAAAAAAATTTGATCAGTTAATCATTAAACTAAATAGAGATTTTTTCTCATTATTAGGAAATGGAAATTGTTGGCTTCACGTTTAACTAGTTGGTGGTTAAAAGCTAAATTTTTTCTGGATAGGACTTAGGTGCTCAAGTGCTCCTAAATAGTCAAAGAAAAACATGAATTAGTTATATTATTTGAATTATAGATTTTTTTTGTATTATTATAGGGAACTGAACTACTGGCCTTACGTTTACTTGGGGGTGTAAATATTTGCAGCGAAACTGATAACACTGATAACAGTGGCTATAATGTTGTAATAATTGGAATTAGGTGCTATCTTAGTGCTCCTGAATAGTCGATTAAAAACTTGAACTATCTAAAACTTCAACTTTTTGGGAGCACTTAAATAGCACCAAATTCCAATACAACATTTTAGCCGCAGTTTTCAGATTCGCTGCAATGCAAATACATCCCCAAGTAAATGTAAAGCCAGCAATTCCTTAATGAAAAAAAAATTTTACTTCAGTTTAATAATTAATACTGATTCAAGTTTTTCTTCAAATATTGAGAAGCACTTAAATAGCACTAATTCCTATCCATAAACATTTTAGCTCTGACACACCACCAACTGAACGTGAAGCCAATAATTTGCCAATAATGAAAAAAAACCGTAATTCAGTTAATAATTAACAGATTCAAGTGTTTCTTTGACAATTTAGGAGCACTTAAATAGTAGGTACCTAAATTCAATCCAAAAACATTTCAGCCTTTAACGGTTTAACGGCCAATTTCATGATAGAGAATTAAAAGTTACTTTAGCTAAATAGACTTTTAGGATGGGATTTTTCTACTTCAAATGGACCTTTATATTTAAAGTTTACTTTAAGTTGATTATGAAATTGGCTGTAAGCCTCTAACACACCCCCAATAAGTAAACGTGAATCCAGGAATTTCCTAATATTGAAAAAAAATCTGTAATTCAGTTAATAATTAACTGATTCAATTTTTTCTTTGACCAGGTATTTAGGAGAACTTTAAAAAGCATATTATCTAAATTCTGATACCAAAGAAAAATTTAAAAAAATATTTTTCACTACAGGGGACTGCTATATTTCATATTAACCTAGCAATCCCTTCGTTTTTTTCCATATGGGACTGCTAGGTTTATTGACCTAATATTCTGGGAAATCAATAAATAATACAACCCCATATGATTTTAAATCTGGGGAGATACTTTGATAGGTATATGTATTATTGACTTTACATTTATAAATAATTTTACACGTCTGTATAAACTCTACAAGGACTCTACGCTTTAATAAATAAGTATATTATATATTTCTAAAATCTTAACTCTACTGTAGACTGTAGTTAATAAAAATAAAGTCCACAATCATTCACTAAATAAATACAAATACATTTTTTAATTTATTTTTATTATTATCAGCTGATTACACCAGATGTTCCGCGCGCCCGCCGCGTACACAAACCTTCATAAGCTTCAACTACTCTTGCTACTCCTCCGCGATCATGTTAACTGATCCCGATCATAGCCGATCGCGTTCGTGAGTAGACCATTTGCGGATTAGCACAAATGCACAGTAGCACAAATGGAGCCATCTCGTCGGCATAATCTCATTCACTACCCAGAAAAACATGTGCTGAACGCGCCTAAAAAAATTTCACTTCAAAAAATAAATGGTTGCGATCTTTTGACCACATAGGCGTGATTCAAAATTTTCAAATTGTCAAAAATCGACAGGCTATTTTTAAGAGACAAGATGGCTCGATTGTCGCCGCTCAGTTTTTTTTTCTTGCCCAACATCATTTCACATCGTAATTAAAGTCGCTAACAATCCCAGGTTAGCGATAGAACAAGGAAGAATAAATTTAATTAAGTAAAAATGGCGTTTGAGCGGTTTCTTGTGTCGCATGAACTCTAAAATCGGCTAGAGAACAGTCGTTTTCGCGGTTATTATTGTCACGGATACCTGGTCCACTGAAACTCAATTTTCAAACAGTAGCAACTTTTATTAAGCAAACTGACTTTATAAAAATTCATTTATCAAAATGTACACAACAAATCTCGTATTTAAACTGGTTTGGAACTGACTACGACGCGTTATTTGTAGACGAATTGTATACCTACCGAATACAACAGAATTTCCAGAATAGTCGCGCTCTAAACATAAACAACTGATGGATTCGTGGACTTTAGCAGGCTCTTGATCCAACTTCGTCACAATATATTTATTTTTGAATGTAGAGCTTGAAGGGGGTGTGACCCTAAAAAACGACTTAAGCTACCTAAATTAGGAAAAAAAATCTAAGATCTCTCCGTTAAAACCGCAGTCCTATATTCAAAATAGTCTCTGAGAAAATTCCTTGTGAAGATAAATTATGCAGGAACTTGTGATGTCACAACCGCCGAAATCGCAGTCTTCTGTTCGTGCAGTCGTCAGTGAACCGTACCCTATACTTTAAGTGGTTCGCTCTAGCAAGATAATTGTCTTTTGTTTTGGAAAATTTTACACGTGTTAATACTGTGCCTGATAATTCACTGTGACGTCACAAACACCTAGTTGTAACTTTAAACAGCCCTTACTCGAAAACGGACCACCGTTGCAAGATGCGGTTTAAATATTTATTCTTGAATTTTTTGCACTAAAACTTTCATTTTTGGGTCATCGGTCATACCCCCTTTAAAAGATGGATATCTTCTGATTTGCGCAACTAGAAACTTAATAAAGACAGTTAAATTTTATTTCTTACATTCACTACGTTGCATACATGAGCGCCGGCAGGGGGAGGGGGCAAGAGATCTTGAAAATAATTAGCTAGATTTCAAAATACTTTGAACTGGCTCCATAAAAAAATATTGTGGATAATACTCATACTCATAATATCAATTAATATCAACTTTAGTCAGTAGGTACATGGTATAGACACTCCCTAATTAAGAAATTGAACTAGAACGACATCTCTGGTTACCGCTTGAAAATAAAACATCGGGGAATCCCACTATTACGAATGCTTCAAAACGATCGATGATTTGGCAATGGCAACTTCGCATAGAGGTAGAAAAATGTATTAAATGTAAAAAAAGACTTGACGTAATTTTTTTGCACCTCCCCTTGGAATATTTTCTGCCCCCCTTGGATTATTTTCTGCCGGCGCCCATGGTTGCATATAATAAGTTATATTTTAGTACCCAATAATAATGCCTAATATGAGAATAATGTTATGTAATTCGAATTAAATTTTCTTCCAATATCCAAAAACATTTTCCAATTTTAGTTGAATTAGGTACGTATATTATTTTTAGAAACCCCATTGAATTTAATTTCTTCCCAGGTGGAATTCAATCTTCACTAGATGTTCCTGAAGGTAACATCCCTGCCTCCCCAAACATGATGAATGATCCGTTTGGCGTGGCTGCTCTTCTACCAATTATCCAAGCGTCCAAGACCGGTCCCAATCCGATGTCGCTCGCACTCGGCGAAGATCTGGACCTGATGGGCCTCGGTCTGAATCTCAACTCACGGACAAACTTGTTCCCGACGTTCGGTGGTCCCTGGGCGAATATGCAGTGCCAGCCTCAGAACATCGACTTCCACGTGCCGCCCGAGTACCACGTCAACCACGCCATCAGGCACAAGCTCGCGCCGTTGGATTTGCGTACATACATGGATGATGCGTTGTTTTTCCTATTCTACACTAGCGTAGGCGATGTACTTCAAATTGCTGCAGCTGCTGAGCTGTACGTTTTTTTGTCTTTATTGATTTACCCATTGCCAAAAAACAAATACTGTTATTTGCAGGTATAATCGAGAGTGGCGTTACCACATGGAAGAGAGAGTGTGGATATCGCCAATACCCGGAATGATTCCCATCGAGAGGACCAATACGTATGAAAGAAGCACTTACTACTTCTTCGATACTATAAGTTGGAGGAAGGTGAGGATTGTAATGTAAAAAACTTATTGAAATGTTTAACTTAACAGCAAAGACACTATATGGATCGGTGCTTTATTAGAGTAACAAAAGAGTATTAGGAAGCCATTTGACAAAAACTATAATTAATTTGAAAGCTGAAAAGTAAAACTATAAACAAAAATGGAAAAATGCAATTAAATGGAGAAAAATATTTTAGACTTTTCGCGATTTCTTTATTTCTGAACGTTTCCACACTGGATTCGATCTTCAAACGGGGTAGCTGGACATCAAACTGGGCCCGAGGCTCAACTGCTTATTCGCAGTTTAAAACACAACTTTTGCTGGTCCACTATTCTGCCTACCACTGAATTTTTTCACCGAGGGTCCGTCAAGTTAGCCTCTTCTATTCAACTTTTCAATATTTTTTCGTGCTAATTAACTGTGCTTCCAGTGTGCTTCGTTGTGCTGCTAATATTAGGTACAGTGACTATTAAACCACAGTGGCGACAATTGCCGTCTTATTTTTGAATGATTATTTTGTGACCCAATGTTTTCAATGTCGACGTTTCGACTTATATTAAGTCATCCTCAGGACACTAAAAATCAAATATGATTATTCCGGAAGTTATTCAAATATTAAGTTTTGTATATATAGTAGTGTTTCACAAGATTCTTGCAAATTTCTTGTTCTTGTCTTGTTCTTGCTGCAAGAACAAGACAAGACTCTCTTAAATTTCTTGTCTTGCAAAGCAAGACAAGACAAGAAGTTGCCAAGCAAGACAAGAAATTATTCTGCAAGACTCTTGCAAGCTTGCAAGAAATATTGCAAAAAAATGAAGTCTTCTTTTCTGCATATTTTTGAAGCAATTGTGGCAGTTAACAATAAGATAAAAATGTCGCATGTCAGTTTGTAAAGTTTAAGGCATTTTTCTGCGACAAAACGTTTTGAAATTGTATTTTCGAAACACTCAAACAGATGTCAGTTTCTAACAGTTCTTGCAGCAAGTATGGCTGGAAAATTTTTGGTCATGATGGACAACGTCACTGCACACACAAAATTGAATTTAAGCTCAATGTGAAGGCCTTTTCGTTTTCAACCATCAAAGAATCAAGTCGATTTTTTTTTAAGGTTTGTTAGCATTGTAGTGCATAAAATAGGCTCGTTGCATCAAATTTTTTTATTGCTGATTTCGATAGTCCCTGAAAAATAAGTTACCACGTGTTTTTTCTTTTTCTTCTTAGTCAAAAATTGACGGAGATATAACACTATGAAATCTGCCTATGACGTCACTTATCTAATAAATTAGTGACGTTGCACATGCTTAGTATATCTATATAAGGTACCTGACCCAAATAAGGCCAGTGCCCTTTGTTGTTTAATATTGAATCCTATTTTCAAAAATTCCAATATTTTAAAAAAAGATATCTATAATGCGAATAAAAAATCATTGCAAGTGTTCCTAGGAACTCGTTATATGTCGAAAAATAGTCAACCACATATTTCATATGTTACGTTATAACTTTGAGGCTGGAACTTAATTAATTTATACACGTGTTTATGAAATGAATAAAGCGATTGTAATTTTTTAACAGACATTTATGTATTGAGAAAGCTACAGAGTAAGTACAGAATAATATCATTGCTAGATTTCTAGTTACAGACTTTTTTTGTTGTTCCTAATAAGGCCATACGAAAAATGTCCATTTGGGCTCACATCACAGTGGTTTTTTTAAAAAATGTGTCATATATTACCCAAGTGATGTGTTTTGGAACGCCTGAATTCTAACCAACCAAGAGAAGCTGCGGTTCATTTGTCCTACTTGTATGTAGACCTATTTGGATCACCATCCCAGGACTTAGAATTATTGTTTTTTTAGAATGCAGTAAACGTTTAAGTTCTATTTTGTGTTCTATTTCTCAAATAATAATATTTCTATAAATTTTCTATATTTCTATATAAATTGAGTTTATTTAAAAAAAAAAATTGATGGTGGCCCTATTAGGAGCATAGTGATCCAAATAAGGCCAATGGTAAGCATTTTTGTTTTACGCAAAAACCACCACTTATATGAAAAAATAACTAAATTGGGGTTAATATTCCTGTAATACAAGCGAAACACTTCACATATAAGCTCGTGATTTTTGTTGGGTTTGGTGGATAATGTTTGAAAAAAAATAAAACTTCCTAACATGGCCTTATTTGGGACAGGTACCTTATACAAAACTTAATATTTGAATAACTTCCGGAATAATCATATTTAGGCGAAATGAAAAAAAAGTAACGATTTTTTTTTCGATTCTTTACAGTTTGCAATAAACAATAATCAATTTAATTTTCCATGCAAGTACCCTATAGTGATGTTAGAGCTGAAATTGTTTTAAAAGGGTTTTTGAAACTGTTTCCTCGAAAAAAAGCCTTTAAACCAGGAAAGATGGCAACCACGTTATCAATGACAATGACACCAATCATAATCTTAAGGGCCCCACAGACTATGATGAAACACGTCGCTCGTCGCTCCAAAACCGACGTGTGTGGTAGAAAACCGTCGTGTTTTGCTACCACACTCTTGCTATGACGTCACAAAACAATAATGCAAGAACAAGAAATTGCAAGAAATCTTGTTTGCAAGACAAGATTTTTTTCTGCAAGAGTCGGGCAAGACAAGAATGAATTTCATTTCTTGTCTTGCTTTGCAAGACAAGACAAGAATAGGCCCAGCAAGACAAGAAATCTTGTCTTGTGAAACACTAATATATAGATATACTGAGCATGTGCAACGTCACTAATTTACTAGATAAGTGACGTCATAGGCAGATTTCATAGTGTTGTATCTCCGTCAATTTTTGACTAAGAAGAAAAAGAAAAAACACGTGTTAACTTATTTTTCATGGACTATCGAAATCAGCAATAAAAAAATTTGATGCAAGGAGCCTATTGCTACATGTTTGAGAGGGGGGGACATCATATACTAAACCCTTTCTTTTGTCGGACAAATATGGTTCCAAATTATTCATAAAATTATCTCAACATTTAGCTAAAAATCTAACTGTTATTAATTAAATTTTCATAATCACCAAATCGACATGTTTTACACCTGCGCAGTATGTTAGCTACCTGTTTTCGCAATTTTCGTGAGAAAAAAGTTGGGCGTCTCGGTGAAATGAAGCTGCATTGAAAAAACTAGCTTGTTATTAATAATTTGGAAAAAAGGGCCTCGGCCCCCGGACTAATCTGTATGAGGCTCTTGTTTAAACCTTTCTTCTTCAATCATGAGCCTGGATGTTAATTCAGTCAAATTTTGATTAGTGCTACTGGTAGATTCCCATGCTGATATGAAATGCTTCAAGTTTTCAGGCAGAGACATAAGCACTTTGATTATCAACATTTTCTCACTTAAATCTTCACCCAAAAGCTTCAATTGGCCCCTTATGTCCTCTAATGGTGATATAAAGTCAGCCACACCACAACTTTTATACTCAAGACTGAAAAACTTTTGATGTAACAGATGGACACTTACCTGGGACTGGTGTTCATATATGGACTTGAGCTTCTCCCACATTTCAGCTGCTGTATTACAAGAAAGAACATGATTTACAATTTTATCTTCCAGCCTGGACACTATAATGTCTTGTGTTTTTGCATCCTTCTTGTCCCAATCTTCAGTTGACCCCGTTGTTGGCCTAGCCGATTCCCCTGTGACTATTGTAAACAATAAGCCTTTGGATTTCAACGCTGTTTGAATCTGGAATTTCCAGCTAATCCAGTTGTCTCCTGCTAATTTAGTTACTTGTGCTGCTTCTGATGATGCCTCCATGGTGTTTTTAATTTATTGGTCCTATACTGTCCATTTGTGAACCGGGTATTCAAATTTCGAACTAACTTTCCCCTATACTGGGTATATTTTACTGTCCCCAAAACCGGGTAGGTAATTATTTACTAAACGGTATTTTCGAATATTTGGTTGAAAATTATTATCAGATATTGTTTATACCGATTATTTAAAACAAATTATGGCGTCGGAAATACCATTTTTTTCAGTTCAAATTTTCTAAAGGGCTTTTTGATGATTGACTGCATATTAAACAATTACCCCAGGCGTATTTGTTTACTATACGGACTTAGGATGCTTTTGCTTTTTTTTTTAGGAAATTACCATCAGATATTGTTTCAAATGATTATTTAAAACAAATTAAGGCGTCGGAATTAAAATTTTTACTAATTTAAATTTTCTAAAGGGCTTTTTGATTAACTGCATACGGTGATGGGTTAAATATAGATACCTATGGATTTTAGTTTTCTGGTTGTATATTTTATGTTCCTTGAATTTTCAATTAGATTACGCAAATTCGGTTCTGGTACCTAACTAATAGGTCGCAACTTCTATGGAATTATTTCGCAATTATTTCATTTAACGATATCACTTAAAAAATAGTTTCCATTCAAAAACAGTGCGGAAATATTTAGTTTCCTACAATATAATAAGGTTTAGTACGTTTTAGTTACGAAAAAGAGATATGCCTACCTAATGCTCATTATTTTTTTATCAATTGGTCAGCGGTTTTATACTAAGGACTAGGTGGACAGGTTAGTTTGCATATTTTTGGTTAGTTTTGTTTCAGTTTGTTTATTACTGGTTATAAACTGAGTTATAAGTGTACTGGTTAACAACAGAGCGCGCGAAGCGCGCTTTGTTATTTAAATTCGATATTAACATACAGTGACTAGCGCGCATTACGTGAACGGGTTAGTTTTGGTTAGTTTGCATATTTTTGGTTAGTTTCGTTACAGTTTGTTTATTACTGGTTATAAACTGTGTTACAAGTGCAGGTACTTGTTAGTAACAAAGCGCGCGGAGACCGCTTTGTTTTTTAAATTCAATATTAACATACAAGGTTTAGCGCATAACGTGGACGGGTTAGTTTGCATATTTCTGGTTAGTTTCGTTACAGTTCATTCATTACTGGTTTTAAACTTCATATAAGTGTACTAGTTAGCAACAAAGCGCGCAAAGCGCGCTTT